CAGAACTGAGTGCTGTAAAGAGCATTGGTCCCTAATGACAGTATTAGGCCATCATGTCAGATCTCTACTGCAGACTCCCAGACTTATTGTATGAGATCAATAAACCTCTCAACATTTATGTCCCCTATAAATCATATTTTTGTTGTTTGCAGCCAAACATTTTCTTAACTAATATAATAATGTCCCCCCCCGCCATGGAATCTACTGTTCTGATTCATTAATATTATGTGTCCAAAATCATGGTAGAGAAGGGACATTGAAAAGGGACATGGGGCATAAATAGTCTTGATAATTTCTTGGTAAGACTATTTATGACTATATTTAGTTAAATATAAATATTTTTGTTTTGGTAAGTCCACTAATGTCTGAATATCTGAAAGTATTGGAGGAGTTATATGGTAAGAAAGATAAGATTTATAGAAAAATCTAAGTTCAGAATTGTTAAATTATTTTTATTTGTCATATTATTTGGATGCCAGTATTACTTACCTTTAAACCTTTCTGTTTTATGTGATAGTTATTATCATATATGGTACCTTCTGCAATACCTAGCTATTTAGAAGTAATCGAAGTGACAAAATGCCATAATATATGGAGATGATGACAGGGCAAGGAGAAGGAATCAAAGATACAATACCTGGTATTATTTCCTTTTAATTTGTTTGCTATTATTATTTACATTTTACCTTAAATAGGAGACAGGTTAATTAAATATCCAATTTTCCTATCTGTAAGACAAAGAAAAAACTTATGTTTGGTTTTCTGATTTCAAGATTTTTATCTTTCTTGGGATATATATTTTATAAAATGTATAATTTGGTTATTTGTATGTTTAGGGGTGGCTAAAAGGCTCACATTCTTCTAAGAGTAAAGTCTAAATTGGAAAACAGTAAAAGTTGCATACTCACAAAATTAGGCATATTCTAAATCATAGTATAACTACAACTTTAATTATGTCTGCCAAACATTCAGTAGAAAAGGGAAAATAACACTCAGAATCCCAGTAGATTTAGGAAGAGAGTTGGGAACAGAAGACAGTCTCCCTTTAGTTATGCTGCTCTTTTAAATTGTAGTGGTTTTTTTATGTGCCTTCCAGCTTCTCCCCCACTGTGCCCTTCTTCTTCCCACAGGTCCCCAATCCCCAGATTTCTGTGCATCCTCTCTCATGCAAAGAAGGCTGGAAGACAAACTTCTGAAGCTAGAGGGTGATTACTAAAGGAGTTTGAAGTGAGTGCCATGAAAAGACCTAATTACTCTTAATGAGAATGGTATTTCTGTATGTTCCCACACTTGAATTTTGACCGCCTTTATTTAGATACCACCAGTTTTACATGCACTCATTTATGCGTGTTAATTCTATGCAGTTTTATTGCATGTATAGATTCATGTGACCACACCACAGTCAATGCACAGGGCAGGTTTATCACAAGGATCCCTCCTGCTACCCTTTCAAAGCGACAGCCACTTTCTTTCTTCTCCTCCCACTACCTCCCTAACCCCAGAAACCACTAATTCTGTTCATCTCTATCATTTTGTCATTTCAAAAATGTTAAATAAATGGAAGAATGCACTATTTAACCTTATGAGATTGGCTTTTTCATTCAGTATTATTCCCCTGAGATGATTCCAGTTGTGTGCATCGATAGTTTGTTCTTTTTATTACTTAGTAGTATTCTGTGTATGGATTACCACAGTTTAACTCTTCACCCATGTGGGTTGTTTCAAGTTTTTGGCTATTTGGAATAAAGCTACTATCAACATTTGTGTACATGTTTTTGTGTAAATGCTTTCATTTCTATGGGATGAAGAGTACAATTGCTGGGTTGTACAGTAAGTGTTTGTTTGATTTGCAAGCCACTGCCGCACTTTTCCAGAGAGGCAGTTACCGTTTCACATTTCCAGGTGCAATGTATGAGTGATCCATTTTCTCCAAATCCTTACCACCACCTGATGTTATCACTATTAAAAAAAAACTTAGCTATTCTGGTAAGCTTGTACTGATATGTGCCTTTACCTAATGGCCAATGATGCTGAACATCTTTTGATATGGATATCTTAGTGAAATGTCCATGTCTTTGTCCCTAATTAGATTGTTTCTTATACAGTTGCGTTTTGAAAGCTCTTTATATATTTTAGTTACAAGTACTTTGTTGGAAATGTCTTGCAAATATTTTTTTTTCCAGTCTATCACTTATCTTTCCATCATCCTCTCAGGTCTTTCACGTAGTATACCTTTTTTTCTTTTTTAACTTTGATTAAGGTCAATTTGTCATTTTTTTCTGTTAAGAATCTTGATTTGGTATCAAGTGTAATATCTCTGCCTAGTTGTAGGTTCTGAAAATTTTATCCTGTGTTTTTCTTCTAAATATTTTATAGTTTTATATTGTGCATATAACTCCATATTCCATTTTAAGTAAATTTTTGTACTTAGCGTAAGGTTAGATCAAGGCCTATGAATGTCCAGCTGCTCCAACACCATTTGCTGAAAGGCTGTTCCACTGAATTGTTTTTAAACCTTTGTCACCCATCAAAGGTGATTTAATATACTCACGAGAACAGTTTATTTTTACCCATTCCAATGCTCTTTTCTTTCTGAAGACCTCTGGATCCTATTTAATCTTCATTTTTAGCAGGCAGTCCTGCTGTTCAGGTGTAGTATGAGGACTGGGTGGATGTGTTGGTTTAGCCTTCCACTGGGCCCTGCCATCACCACTCTGGCAAAAGTAGAGCACAGACTGCCTCTCATTGCAGATGGGTGAGGTGGCAGTTCAGCTCCCCTTCTGGCCCTGCTGACATCCTCCTGGCAAAGGGGGGCACTGATTTGCACATCCTTTTTGCTTCCCAGGGGGACTGGAAGCTTACCTCCCCAATGGAACCTGATGACACAGGGGAGGTGACAAGGAAATGGAGTGCTACCTAGGCCCGTGTCCTACCTCTTTGTTTCACCTTGTTGATACCCAGGTGGGAATGGAGGCTCAGATCCCTGCTGAACCCTGCTAACACCAGAAAGGGTATATTAGTTTCCAATGGAAACTATAACAAATTTCCACAAATTTAGTGGCTTAAAAAAACAAATTTTTTGTCTCATAACTCTGGAGGCCAGAAGTCTGAAAGCAGGGCCACACTCCTTCTGAAAGCTCTAGGGGAGAATCCTTTTTCACTTCTTCCAGTTTCTCGTGGCTCCAAGTGTTCCTGGGCTGTGGCTGTAAAACTCCAGTCTCTACCTCTGTCTTCACATGGCTTTCTCCTCTTCTCCATGTCTCTATCCTCTATGTATCTCTTATAAGGACATTTGTTTTTGGATTTAGGGCCACCAGGATAATTCAGGGTGATCTCATCTTGAGATCTTTAATTATCTTTGCAAAGACCCTTTTTCCAAATTAGGTCACATTCACAAGTTCCAGGGATGTGACATGGACATTTTTTTTGGTGGGTCACTGTTCCCACTACACCCTGATGGAGGGTGGGGATGGAGGCTTAGCATCCTGGTGGGCCTTGGTGACTCCAGGGGTGGGAGTAGGGGTGGGAGAGGGTAGTGAAGCTCCCTGGTCACTAGTCTTTCTTTGCACTACTTAGTTACTATGGGTTGAATGTCCCTCTGCTTTTATGAATGGATTAATGTTACTATCACAGGAGTGGTTTTGTTATAAAAGTGAGGTCTCTCTTGCTCTTACCCTCATGCCATGTGATGCCCTCCACCATGTTATGATGTAGCAAGACGGCCCTCACCAGATGTCGGTACCAGGCTCTTGGACTTCTCAGTTTCCAGAATTGTGAACTAAATACACTTCTTTTCTTTATAATTATTCAACCTGTGGTATTCTGTTATAGCCACAGAACATGGACTAAGACATTGGTTAAGTCTCGTTGCTGCCAGCTGGGGGTGGAAGCTGTCTTTGTCACTGGACTTCACTCATACTACCTATATTACCTCCTGCTTCTGCTGAGTGGAAGACAGAAAATCAGCTCCCTGCTTGGTCAGTCTACATCACCTGGAAGGGCAATCAGTGCTGCCTACATCTGCCAGGTAGAAGATGGGAGATTAGCTCCCTGCTCAGTTTTGCAGACACCATAGGATAGGGGTGTGTCAGGGCACTCCCATCTGCTTCTGTGGGATGGGGGTGGGTAGGATGGAAAAGTATCTCCTTGCTCTGCCACACTGAAACCATGGGGGTGGCTTGTAGGTTGATGCTTGGCTGGTGTAGGGTGGGCATTACAAAAAAGGGTTTTTGTTCTGTTAGGCGCCTGGTCCTATGACTAGGAGGAGAAGGCTTTTCATGCATGCAGTTGTGTGTGTGTGTGTGTGTGTCTTTCCCACCTGGGATATGTGGGAGGCAATAAGGAAACTCAGAGAACTCACTGAATGTCATTCCTTAAGTCCCAACGTCCATAGATAGCTTGCTGCATTCTTTCCACCTATGCTTGAGTTTTCCTATGCTTGTTTGTTGTGTTATGTGCAGGGTCTTTAAGTTTTCAGAGGAAAGACTTGGGAGGAATGGGCTATTGCATCTTGGCCACACCAGAAATTGTTTGATGACTCATTCCATTTAAAATTCTAAATGTCATTAGTCATACATTTTAGTGGAATTCTTTTCAATTTTTATGTTCATTTTTCCTACAATTCTCAATTTAAGCAGTAAGTGAAAGAAAAACAATTTAAAGTATATTTTAACCTTTAGTTAATGCTGACCTCTGACTGTATCTGCTTTCTTACTGGTTCTTATACAGAGGATTTTACAGGGACAAAAGCAAAAGATGAAAATATGCTAATAACACTTGTTATTTAACATCATTCTTATGTGAGATTAAAAACTGTATTTAATGCCATATTCTTGTACAACTATGAGTTCTTATTTTTATGAACTATCTTCAGCAATGTGTACAAGAATACTGTTTAGAATAGTTTAACAGTATTATTTATGCATGTTGACTTAGAAGTAAACTGCAATAACTACTACACATGATTTTATAGCAGAATGGCCTCATTTCTTCTTTTGGTATCATGAATGACTATTATGACGAAATCCACGTCCTGATGGAGTTTTGTGTGCCTTTATTCCATCTTTTGCATTGAGGATGAAGTTTACTAAGTTGGAAGGCATGGTTTTTTCAATTATTGATGGGGACAATTTTCCTCTCATTTCTGTCTGGACAAACATCACTAGTTTGGAATATGCTGGGTTTCTGTAAGCAAAAGAAGAGTTAAAAAAAAGATAAGAAATTTTTAGATTTACCTACTGAATTTACAGGTTTTTGGAGAGCAGGATTCTTATTCACCATTGACATACTTAAAAATTGTACTTAAAAATATTAAGTGGCTAGAATATTTCTTAAAACCTTCAGTTTTAGGCACCCTTTTCTTTTTGTCATTTTACTGACTTTTAAAAATTCTAACAGTAATGTATGCTTATTATGAAAATTTAAACAATATAAATTTTTCATAATTAAAGAAAAATTTCCCTCCCTTATTTCCCTTATCCTGTTTCCCAGAGATAATCACTGTATATAATTTTAATTGTTATCTTTTCAGGTGACTGTCTATATAGATATGTGTGTATATATATACACACACATATATACAAAGACAGCATACATCTGTACATAAATGAATATGTACCCCACATATATAAATAGAGTTTTATTTTTTTAATGGAGACATTTTTCTGCAACTAGTTTTATTTTTATCTTATGAACTTCCTTCTGTGTCTGTACATACAGATCTACTTAACTGTTTTTCATGGCTACAGACAGTATTTCTATTCTATTTAACAGTCCTTTTATTGACTATCATTTAGGTTGTTTCTCACTTTTGGCTACTGTAAGTAAAGCTGCAATAAAATATCTTTGTAATGTATCCATTTATGCTTTTTTTTTTTTTTTTTTTGAGACACAGTCTTACTCTGTTGCCCAGGCTGGAGTGCAGGGACGTGATTATAGTTCACTGCAGCCTCGAACTCCTGAGTTTAAGCAATTCTCCAGCCTCAGCTTTCTGAGTGGCTGGGACTACAGGCATGCCCAATCATGCCTGGCTAGATTTAAAATTTTTTTTAAAGAGACAGGGTCTCATTATGTTGCCAAGGCTAGTCTCAAGCTCCCGGCCTCAAGCGATCCTCTCACTTCGGCTTCCCAAAATGCTGGGATTTCTGGTGTGACCCACCTCACCCAGCCCCATTTACACTTTTATAAATACTTATAATTTCTAGGTCAAAGGTTTGTGCATTAAGCTTTTTGACATGTTAATTCCAAACTGCACTCTAAGTGGTATTTTATATTCTAGCCCACCGATCTTCACACTGGGGTAGGAAAGGATGAATACTTTTAAGAGAATAAGTTTTCAAATCTCTAACTTCCATATGCATTTTTTCCTTAATCTGATGTGTAAATATGTCTCTGATGGAGATGTGGGCTTTTTCTTTCCTATCTGCCTGTTCAAAATCGCCCTTCTCTTGCTTTATACAACAAAGGCATACCTGTTATCCACACTAAATAGTACTATGGTGCTTTACCTTGGTATGTAAAAATCTTTGAGATGCTAAAGGGAAAATCTGAGTAGAAGCGGATTGAGAAAAAAATCTTTTCCAAGTCATGCCATTTTTTTTTTTTTTTTTTTTTCAGTAAAACTGAAGGATCTAATTGAGCTGTCAGCTGACAGGTCTTTTTTTTTTCTTTTGCGACAGAGTCTTACGCTGTCACCCAGGCTGGAGTGCCGTGGCATGATCTGGGATCACTGCAAGCTCAGTCTCCCGGGTTCAAACGATTCTCCTGCTTCAGCCTTTCGAGTAGCTGGGACTACAGGCAAGCGCCACCATGCCTGGCTAATTTTTGTATTTTTGGTAGAGACGGGGTTTCACCATGTTGACCAGGCTGATCTTGAACTCCTGACCTCAGGTGATCCACGGCACCTCAGCCTCCCAAAGTGCTGGGATTATAAGTGAGGGCCACCATGCCTGGCCAAGTCTTTTTTTAATGATAACTATTTTTTGATGATCGGTCACTACATAATTTATGGTATATAATTCATAAATTTTTATATAAAAATAAAATAAAAAATATTTTTATATAATTCTGAAATTTATTTTTATTAATTATTATTAAATCAGAAATTATTTAATTGACAGTGCTGGAATTATACTCTCCATTTTAACACATTTATGTTAATAAATTTTCTTCAGTTTTCTTAAAATGAAAGCACCAGTAGACTTGATATTGAATGCTGTCTTATCAGTAATATACACCCACAGTTAAATGAAATGAGTGTAATGGTTAAAAGCGTGGACTCAGGAACTAGTCTGCCTTGGTTTGAAACTGAGCTTTGCTATTACCTATATATAACCTTCAGATAGTTAATCTCTTTGAGCTTCCACTTTCTTTCCTGCCCATTGGGCACAGTCATACTACCTACTTTATGGGGTTACTTTGAAGATCAAATGAGTCAGTATATGCAAATTGTTTATAACAGTGCCTAGCACATAGTAAGTGCTATTTCAGTTTTGCTAATAATAAAATATGTGTTTCTAATAACAGTTTGCACTATGTTTAATATTTATATATAAACATATTTTTAATTTTGATCAATATGTAATGATAACTTAATCCAGAAGGCATATATATATTTGTAGTTGTTAGACAGTAGAGTTATGGGAAGTAAAACAAATTTTAAAACTTTAAACACATGTCATTTTTGCAAAGAATTAGGATGACTATGAAATAATTCAAATCATAAAATATATTCTATTAGAATAAAATTATATGAGGGGAAAAATAAAAATGTGAGTTCAAGGAGGAAAGGAATGATGTAAATTTTCTGACTGTTAAAAGTTGTATTTATTTTAAAGTGAATAATTTAATGGTGGGTTTCAAATTATGGTATTTATAATCTACTGGATATGTTTATAAGGATGATATAACCATTTTTTAAAAAAAGTCAATGTTTAGCACATGCTAGGAATTGTACTTTTCATCAATGTAATTTACTTTTCATCAATGTAATCCCTATGAAAAATTTTAATGTCAACTTAAAAATGTGCAAGGGAGAATATAGTTTTATAAAATTTTCAAGGAAGACGACCGTTCCAACAAATAGCATGAGTGTCCATTTTCTTATACTTTTCTCCATGCAAGGTTTAGACTATTTTTACAGTGCCTCAGATGGCTAGATTGAGAACAGAGTAGTTCCCTCTTATCCTCTGTTTCACTTTCTGCAGTTTCATTCACCTAAGGTCAACCCATTCCAGAAATAAGAAAAATTCATAAGCCTTAAATTGCACATTGTTCTGAGTAGTGTGATGAAATCTTACATCATCCTGCTCTGTCCCACCCAGGATGTGAAATCATCCCTTTACCAGCGTATTTAGGCTGAATAGGCCACCCACCCATTAGTCACTTAGTAGCCTCCTTGATTATGAGATCAAAAAACCATGGTGTATACATAGGGTTTGGTACTATCCATGGGTTTAGACATTTACTTGGGGTCATGGAACATATCTCCATGGATAAATGGGAACTGCTGTCCTTACTAGTAGTTTCTATGGTCTTAAATCTTCCTTTGTGTTTACAATGGCTTTACACACATAAGAAAGCCTTTCTAATATTTACTGGAGTGCACTTCTGCATTGACAAGGTGCAAGAAGGGGACTTGGCCAGTGAAGCATGCTTTAAGGTGTAAAATTTTCCAACTATAGTCCGTGCCAGTGGTTGATTACCTTGCTGAATTGGTGTAATTACCCTTCATTTGTTTTGTTTTCTCCTGCTATGGAGAATAAAATCTTGGCCATAGATTCAAAATTGACAAATGGGTAGAAAGACCACGCATTGTTATTATTATCTGTATCAACAATCCTGTACATTAACGTGAATAATTGTGAGGTTTTTTAGTTTTCCAATTCAGTAGAGGAAATGTTAAGGAATACAGGTCCAAAATTTAATTTCATATGGGCTTCCTTCACATACATTTTTTTTCTTGTACTGAAACATTTATATCTAACCAATGCATCTGTTTTCATGTGCCAATATCTTTTACTCAATAAAAAATCATTTAGCAAACATTAAAACTTAAGGAACTTATGAAATGATATACATTGAATTAGAGTATATGCTTTTACAAAATATGTATATTTTATGCTGCCATTTTATCCCAAGGCCACCTTTAGGCAGTGACTCATCTCTGATTTCTTCAGCTTTTCTTTTATCTGAATGTACCTACTGGATCTTATTTTGCAGGTATCTGCTCTTAGTAAGTAGTCCATTGGGAAGAATTCATTCAAAGTAAAGCATTCATTACTGATAAATGTGTGTTATAATTCTAGGAAAGTTTATTTTTAATTCATAAAAGTTCCTTAATAATTTACAGAAATGACTCTAATGGAGAAATAGAAAATATCAAGGAAGCTTAACTGCTGGGAAATGTTTGTGTGTGTTTGATTGTTCTCAGAAACCTCAGATCATACTTTATAGGGAAGTATCCATTCTGATTATACTTAAAATGAAAATGATTATATGAAGTTATTTGAAAAATCATATTTAGGGGCAGTTTTTTTTTTCCCCAACAGAATATGCTGATACGTATTTCTACTGATGAACCAGGAATCTTGAACTAAATCACAAGTTGAACTAAAAAACCTGTTAAAATAAATAAGTGCAAATAACACTTACTCTTTCATTGGTGAACATACAAAGCCACAAGGATGGTTATAACCACGGATATAATTTGAAGATGGAGGATATTCTGGAAAATCCACGCTTTTAGCTAAGAGATTTTGAAAAATTAAAATGAAACCTATTTCACAAAGAGGAAAAATTATTTCCAGCAGCATATTTTTAAAAATATATAATATAGCATTTAAGTTGGTTAATAGCATTAACATTAGTTTTATATATGTGAATGTTTATTTGCACATATGAAGCCAAAATTGAGAAAATACCAGTATCAGCACTATTGTCCTCTTAAATTTTTTCCTGCTAGTATTTCTAAAGATGCTGTCAACTTCTGTATACAAGAAAAATGGTTAAAAGTATCATTGAACTATTTTCTGAGATTTGAAGCAAAAGATGGCTCAAATCTCAGAAAATAGTTAATGCCTATAACTAACTTAAATCTCACTGGGTTTGAGTGAAGACCGTTAACTGGCTTTGGGTGAAAACTATTCTACTAGGGTCCTGGGTTCATAGATTTTTTTGTTAATCATGTTTTTTTTTTTAAGTAAAATATTTGAAGTGGTTAGATGGTCTGTCAATAACGATATTTTAAAATGCTCCCTTCTGCAATTCCCTGTAACTAACTGCAAACTCTAACTGAAAATCAGTAGAGTTTATTTTAGAATTATGCAACATAGTATCTGTATTCTATGTGAATGCAGAGGGGGTTGGTTTATGATTTAATTTATGATAATATATATATACTCTTTCTAAAAATATTTTAAAACATATATGTGTTTATTCTGTGCAACTGAATCCTACTCTTATCAGAGAAGATGGATTTTCTGATATGATTTTAACATAAGCAAATCAATTCCATGGGAAATACAATGTAAAACACTAACTTGGAGACTAGAGTTGTTGAATAAATTTTCCATTTTTATGACTTATATCATTATCTTGACAGAGCCTATAATAGTACTGCCAGAAGTGATGTTATTATAAAAGATTTTTTCTCTGTTTGAAATATGGAAATTCTGCTTGTCTTCTTTAAAAAAAATCTGTTGTAGTCTACAAACAGGTATGGGTCTTTTATGAAGCATATGGTGTGGTAGTTAGCACTTATTTTGGAAAATCAGAAAGAACTGAGTTTTAATTCTGGGTTAACTGCTTATTAGCTATGTAACTTAATTTCTTAACTGCTTAATTTCCATGAACTTCAGTTTCCTCACTAGTCAGATAATGCAAGCAAAATATTTAGCTTATAGCAAGGTACAGGGTAGGATAAAAAAAAGAAATGTTAAGAAAACTATGAGTACTGATCAAAAATTCATTCAATGGAAACTTTTAAAGCAAATTCAATAGTGATTTGTGCACCAAATCACTATCAACTAGAGGTTGATTACCTCTAGTTGTTGATTTTAATCTCTACTTCTTTTTTAGCTTCCCTCTGATCACTAATAATTATATAGAAATGGTCTGCTTTCAAAATATGGAAAATAACAGATGTATGATCTGTTTAGACAGACTATTTTATGTTGTAGGCCATGAATACATTATATGTGCCCTCATTTCAAAAATGAGACAACTAAACATATATGGACATTATGAACATCAGCCCTCAGTGGCATGCTGAAGAAAGAGCTAACTGGGTTTGAATGAGTGCTACGACGCAGTCTGGGCTCTGAAAAGTAGAGTACTAAAGATATCTCGAAGGAACTGAAATCCTGCTGGGAAATAATAATTAACAAAATGTAATTGTCCTTGGTCCCAAGTAGGAATAGTGAAATTAATTCAAATTATAGAGAAAAACGGGCTCTATGCCACTGTGCTACCAAAGTTCCTTCACCATGAGTTATCTTAAGTTATCTGAGTCCATAGATCCTCATGGTATGGAATGGTATGTTTTGATCAATAATGCAAGTTAGAAAATTACACATATGCATTTTACAGAGTGACACATTTGGGAGTGGGGATAGGTATATATCAAAACCTGCAGTTTCTAAAAGAAATAAAAGCACATTTATGTAAAGAGCCATCTAGTGGAAATTTCTTTAACAGTTTTATCAGTTACTTTACTGGATATGCTCACTATAAGCAATTCAAATATAAAATCATATCTAACAATTAATTTTGTTTCTTCGGATTTTAAAAACGTATACTTGAAGTTTTAGGCTACAAGTATCTATCTGTATTCACTGCTACATGATATATGCTACAAAAGTCTAAGAGATGTTGTAAACATTGACCATTATATAAATGGCACCTTCGGAGTGTCACAGGCATATCTACATGATACGTGTACTTGTTGATCCTACTGAGTAAACTTAAAAAGGAAATAATTATAAATATAATTTATTTGCAGCTGTGAATAAAGGGAAAACATTTATTAATGGTTCATAGTAATTCCAAGATATGGGCAAAATGCTTCAACTTACAGCTGATAATGTTCATATTTCCTTCGTAGCGCTTGATGTACACTAAGTCGATAAAGTCTCGAGGGGAAATGGAGCCCATGGCAAAACTTTGTGTAATGGTATGACATATGAATGTGTCCTGCAACAAATCAAACCATAAAGAAAACACCCATTATTTAATATCTATTCTTTGTATTGTTTCCCTCCCAAATTTTATTGCATATGATTGGCCTCCATTTGGAAAAAGCAGGGCTTTGAAATTTTAAGACCTCATCACCAAATCAGCTTGGATTTTGAGTGTTAAAGGAGCATTAAATCTATGAGTGTAGAAAATTCAAGAAGCAATCTTGAGATCATCTACTCTTTCCATTTTTAGATGGAGAAATTGAAGCCTAACAGATTAAATCACATTCACAACTAGAGATAAGTAAAGAAATAGAACCCAGGTTTCCTGATTCCCCATATAGCACTATTTCTACTACTCCACATAGGTTAAGTAATATATTCTGAAAAATACATTGATTTAGCACCCTGTAGTGTAAGGTCTAAAATTAAAGACCAATGTTGGTCTTGAATGGCCTAACTACACATTCCTTTCCCTCTTCATTCCTGCAGATAAGATCCCCTAGCCAAACAATCCTCCTTCTTAACAGGACCAGCACGGTTACTATTTATCCCTGTTTAGTGGTCTCAGTTCCCTGCTGGCCCATGGAATCATTCAAACAAGACAATCACATTCTTCTGCAGGAACCGGGGCTCACTCTACCCTGTTGACACAAAGGCTGCCTCCCACAGCCCCTAGGTGTTCACTCTGTTCCTATGTTGCCCTGTGTTGCATAGTTTGTTCTCCCTTCTTGGTCTGTGATCAATGATTAATAAACTTCAATCTACCTCACTTGTCCATTGGGGGGTATTATGTGTTTGACCATCCCCATAACCCTAGAGTGGGACTCTCTCCCTCACCAATAGGTTGAAGAGGAGGCAGTTAAGACACATCCTTGAACAGGCATGGTGGCACATGCCTGTAATTCCAGCTACTTGGGAGCCTTAGGTAGGACGATCGCTTGAGCCCAGGAGTTTGAGGCTAGAGTGAGCTTTGATCACAACACTGCACACTAGCCTGGGCAACAGAGTGAGACCCTATCTCTAAAAAGAATAATAATTATAAAAATAAATAAGTAAATAAAACATACTCCTGGAGATGAATACTATAAATCTTTACAGAAAGGGAAAATAATTCTAATTTAGAATTAGGAGACCAGGTACAAGTCCTCGTTCTACCACATATTGGCTGCATTATCCTTGAGTAAGTCACAAAATCTCTCTGAATTTGTTTTCAGGTTTTTGGATGTCACGTCTAGTAGTCTTTCTATTATACCGTATGGCTTGAAACAACAATAGAAATACCTGAAGTGCTAATCGAACTGTATGATTATAAAACGATGAATGAAATAGTTAAATTTTTGGATTTTCATTTGTGATGCCCAGTGGTTCTCAAACTGAATGTTCAAATCCCAAGAAGATCATGGACATGTGTTTTTTGTGGATAGGCACTTCCTCTCTACAAAATAAAACTGATTTACAAGATGAAGATCAAGGACTTTCTACAAGATGAAACAGATTTACCTTCAAGGGCTTTTCTACAACTCTTCTCTCCTAGATTTTAAGATGAGTTTAATAAAAGTAGGTAAAATTATGAAGTTCTAAATAAATGATAATTTGATGGCAGATATGTGGGACATTTATTTACTTATTTTTGTTTGACAAATGAAATACAGGTTGGAGACTTAAAGAACTAAAGGCCTAGTGATCTGAAATTTTACAAATGCAATCATTTGTGAAAATCATAAAAGTTAGTTTTATTCCATCATTCACGTTTCTCTTTTAAATAAAGCTACTATTAGCCAAAAATCTAGGACTCATTTTTAAAAACAGCTTATTGAGTATAATATACATACCATGAATTCACCTATTTTAAGTATATAGTTCAATTAATTTCCCAAAGGAAATTTATTTGTGTAATTTCACTACAGTCCAGTTTTAGAAGACTTATCTGATTCCTCTCTGCCTGCATCAGTAAGCCCTATTGACTCTATCTCTGTATCTTTGGGTTTCCTGACTTACCTCCCTCTCCATGTCTACAACCCTAGCACAAGCCACCATGATGTCTCATTTAGATTACTCTCATAGCCTCATAACTGTTTGTGCTGATTTCATTCTTACCCCCTTATAATCCATGCTTCTTTCAGCAGCTGTCTCTTAAAAGTGTAAATCAAATCAGTCACTTCCCTGCTTAAAACACACCAATGGCTTCCCACTGAATGTATAGCAAAACTTCTCCCCCTGACCTTTGATACTTTTGCAGAATCTGATCCCAGCCTAACCTCTCACCTCTTAACCACTTTTCTCCTTGCTTTTTATGGTCAAACCCCACAGATCTTGTTTATCTTCTGATTAAACACTGCCAAACTCTTTCCACCTCAAGACCTCTGTATTTGCTTTCCCCTGTGTCTGCTATTCTCTCCCAGATCTTTCCATGTCTATCTCCCCAACCTCCATTTTGTTACCCAAGTTTCTAATGTCTCTCACTCAGACTGGCCTTTCCCAATTCTCTAGCTATAAATTAACTTCTCCTGGTTATTGCCTATACTATTATCATTCATAACACTTATTCTTACCAATCCTAGCCTTCATTATCTGATAAGTTTTAACAAATTGTTTATTTGTTTATTATGTGTCTTCTGGTGAGAATATAAGTTTTGTGAAAGCAGGGACAATTTCTGTCTTCTTCTCTTATGTGTCCCTAGTGAACTGAAACAGTATGGAGTTCACAGTAGCTGCTCAAAAAGTATTTGTGAAGTGTGAAGTATTTGTGAAGTATTTGTGAAGTGAATTAATTAGTCAAAAGAACATAAACATCAGTCTGGGAGAGTTTGGAACAAAGTCAGGATTCCCCCAGAAACAGGTTTCCTAAGACGGAGAAAACACAAACAACTGGAATGGACATATTACTGGAAGAGAGGAGAATCATCCCTCCATCCCTCCAGGTGGTTATTTATTTATTTGTTTGTTTTTGAGACGGGGTTTCACTCTTGTTGCCCAAGTTGGAGTGTGATGGTATGATCTTGGCTCACTGCAATCTCCGCCTCCTGGGTTCAAGCGATTCTCCTGCCTCAGCCTCCCAAATAGCTGGGGTCACAGGCACATGTCACCACGCCTGGCTAATTTTTTGTATTTTTAGTAGAATCAGGGTCACCATGTTAGCTAGGCTGGTCTCGAACTCCTGACCTCAGGTGATCCATCCGCCTCTGCCTCCCAAAGTTCTGGGATTACAGGTGTTAGCCACTGCGCTCAGTCCCAGGTGGTTATTTTTACAATGGCCTTAATAAATAAATGAGATATCTATAGTGTGCTGGACCAAAGTTTGGAATCACTTATCCCACTTCTTCATCCTTGTTTCTACTTGTGATGTGGTTTGAATTTGTGTCCCTGCCCAAATATCATGTTGAATTAGAGGATCAGCCTGGTGGGAGGTAATTGGATCAGGGGGCAGACTTCCCAATTGCTGTTCTCATGAGTGAGTGAGTTCTCATGAGATCTGATGGTTTAAAAGTGTGTGGTACCTCCCCCTTAGTTCCCTCTCTCTCCTATTCTGCCATGGTAACAGAAGAGTTACCTGTTACCTCATGCCAAGGTGTTCCCCTTCACCTTCTGCCATGATTGTAAATTTCCTGAGACCTCCCAGTCATGCATGTTTCCTGTGAAGCCTATAGAACTGCGGGTCAGCCGGGCGCGGTGGCTCATGCCTGTAATCCCAGCACTTTGGGAGGCCAAGGCGGGTGGATCACGAGGTCAGGAGATCAAGACCATCCTGGCTAGCATGATTAAACTCCGTCTCTACTAAAAATACAAAAAAAAAAAAAAAAATTAGCCAGGTGTGGTGGCAGGCGCCTGTAGTCCCAGCTACTCGGGTGGCTGAGGCAGGAGAATGGCGTGAACCTGGGAGACGGAGCTTGCAGTGCGACAAGACCCCCCTACTACACTCCAGCCTGGGCAACTGAGCAAGACTCCATCTCAGGAAAAAAAAAAAAGAACTGAATCAAGTAAACCTTTTCTCTTCATAAATTACCCAGTCTCAGGTAGTTATTTATAGCAGTGTGAAAACAGACTAATGCAACCTCTTTTTGCCATGTATCATTATTCCTGTCATTTCATTCATTTTTTCTACTCCTGAGCTTTCATTCTGCCCTTACCTCATACTGATCCTTTCTTCTGTCTCTCTCTAAACCATACTTTCCTCTCACATTCTCTCTTCTCTCGACTTTCTACTCCAGTTACCTTTATTTTCTCTTTGTTTTTATTCTCTTTGTATCTATTTAACTGAGATAATATATTTGAAAGTGTTCCTAAACTTCAACCTTCTATATAGTTATTTCCTTACTTTATCTTTACTGATGTGGTTTGGTTCTGTGTCCCCAACCAAATCCCACCTTGAATTGTAAACCCCACATGTCAAGGGCGGGACCAGGTGGAGATAATTGGATCATAGGGGTGGTTTCCCTCCTGCTGCTTGGTGAAGAAGGTGCCTGCTTCTCCTTTGCCTTCTGTCATGATTGTAAGTTTCCTGAGGCCTCCCCAGCAATGTGGAACTGTGTGTCAATTAAACATATTTCCTTTATAAATTACCCGGTCTTGGGTATTTCTTCATAGCAGTATGAGAACGGACTCATACACCTACTCTTAAACATTATATGCTGTTTGTTCTTTAAGTCCTTATGGTATGTGTCTGCATTGTTCCTGTTCTCATGATAGTGAGTGAGTTCTCATGAAGTCTGATGGTTTAAAAATGTGTGGCATCTCCCCCTTTGCTCCCTCCCTCTCCTGCTCTGTCATGGTAAAATGTGCTTACTTTCCCTTCACCTTCTGCTATGATTGTAAGTATCCTAATATCTAATGTAATATGACTAAAATAAATCTACAGACTTCCCATCAATAAGACATACTTAACTTTTGTTTTCCATGTAATGGAGGTGAATCCCTGAGTTCTGTTCCCTTATAACAAATGGCACACATTGCAAGAGAGGTTACCAGATTCAAAATGTAATAATGCATTTGCAAGCAGAATAAAGCTAATTGGAATTAAACTCTTGGAAAGTAGGGAAGTTTTAAAGCTTTTCTAAAGACTTCAAGTCAATTTGAAACTATAAAATACTGTGTCTACATAACATAGTTTTAATAAACTCAACTCACTAAGGTATAAGCTAAAAATATATTAATGTTCTAAAAGTCCAGTATTAACAAATTACCGAATCAATCCTGTGTACCATATCGTACACTTGCAATGATTTATCCCATGTAACTCTCTCTCCAGTTTGGTAGAGGAAATCAGATAGTTTAGCTGCTGATTCTGGAATTATCCCTTCAACACGATATCTACAGTTAACAAAATCAAGAAAATCCAAAGCTTACAAAGTTTAGTCTAAGCTGAAAATATAATACTTTCAAAGCATAAAGGTAGGCTAATTTAGCAAACAGCAATGAAGAAAACTTGAAGGTACTATCAGCAATTCAATACATTAATATTCAATTGGAAGTAGCAAGGTTTATTTAAATATGCATTGCAATAAATACCTTATTTTAAAATTCATCTTTCTATAAGTAGGCTATTAGTTATTAAGTTTTTGGGGAGTCAAAAGTTACAATGGGATTTTTGCACAGTGGGTTGGCACCCCTAACTCCCACATTGTTCAAGGGTCAACTATAATGCTTTATTGAAACACAGCCACACTCATTCATTTATATGTTAACTCTGGGTGCTCTTGTGCTATAATGGCAGAGATGAGTAGTTGCAAGAGACCATTATGAGTTGCAAAGCCTAAAGTATTTACTCTCTGTCCCTCTACTGAAAAACTTTGCCAACCCCTGATTTAGGGTGTCCACTCAGTGGCTAATCTTTCATTTTCCAGTCACTTTGTAAAGGTAAGAAAAGTACAAATTACAGTTATATTATATGGCTGTAAGGCAGAAATTATTTTTTTGTTCATGAACAATTAGAAGGTTAATAGCTGCATAAAACTAATAGCAACAAAGAAACAAAGAGGACCAGCCAGAAGTTTAACAGAGAGAAGCAGAGAACATACAGCTAAAGTGACCCACTAAGAGCACACTCATCCCTGGGGTCTGGATGGCTGTGTTATGCACAGGCTCTCCTACTCAGTACCAATCAGGGCAAGATGTAATGCAGACTTGTAAGTATTCCCCAAGCCACATTCAGATTGATTAGCAAAGAGCTGATGCCTTACTGACTCAGGCACATAGGTATAGTACAACCTTTGATGCATCACTGACGGGAAAATAATCTATTCTATCCACTGTAAAATAAAATATACTCATAGCTGGGTCTAGAAGACTGTGTATGCTGAAGGCTGCACCGTCTGAGGAGAGACTGCTGACAAAACTTCCAAGCTACCAGTCTCTGGCTAAATCCAGAGCAAAACCACAAAACTCCCTGAATTACAAAAGCAGTCTTCAATCCACATACATATTTGACAGTAGAAGGTAAAAATTACCACAAAATGGCTTATGTTGACCAAGGAGTGATCCATGGGAAGCCAGGCTAAAAGATAACTGCAAGTAAAAAGTCAGAGCAGAGATATCAGAGGCTACAGGCTGTGGGGGAAACAGACTTCACAGAATTAGTCCAGTTAAATCACCAAACAGATAAACAAATGATCAAACTCATAACCACAAACCCAGGATGGGTGGATGGAGTCAGTATCCAGAGTTGCTACAATATTTTACCTAAAACGTTGTTTTCAACAAAAAACTGTGAGTCATGCAAAAAAACATGAAAAGTGTGACCTATACTTAGGAAAAACAGCAAGCAGGAGAAACTACATTTTAGGGGACCTTATCACATAAAGATGTTGGAATTATCATGTAAAAAATTTGGATGGGTGCGGTGGCTCACTCCTGTAATTCCAGCACTTTGGGAGGTAGAGGCAGGTGGATCATGAGGTCAAGAGATCGAGAGCATCCTGGCCAATATGGTGAAACCCTGTCTCTACTAAAAATACAAAAATTAGCTGGGTGTTCTGTCATGTTCCTGTAGTCTCAGCTACTTGAGAGGCTGAGGCAGAAGAATCGCTTGAACCCGGGAAGCAGAGGTTGCAGTGAGCTGAGATCACGCCACTGCACTCCAGCCTGGCGACAGAGTGAGACTCCATCTAAAAAAAAAAACAAAAAACTAAAAGCAATGGTTGTAAATATGTTCAAAGAACTAAGGAAAGCAGGCAAAAAAAAAAAAAAAAGAAAAGAAAAATAAACAGTGCCTCAGAGAAATGTGATATGCCATTAAACACATCAACATACACATTTTGAGAGTACCAGAAGGAAAGAACAGACACTGCACTCCAGCCTGGATAAGAGAGTGAGACCCGTCTCTAAAAACAAGAGAGGATAGAGAAAAAGAAAAATATGCACAAAAAATATAGAAATAAAATAATAACTAAAATTTCTACAAATTTGTAGGAAAACACTACATTCAAGAAGTTCATTGAATTCTAAGTAGTACAGGTGGAAAAACATCCACCTCCAGATATATCATAGTCAAAAACCTGAACATGAAAATAAAAATAAAGTCTTGAAAGCAGTTAAAAAAAAAGGCATTACATAGAAGGGAACCATAATAAGACTGACAGCTGGCATGTCATTAGAAACAATGGAGGCCAGAAGGAAGTAAATGACATTTAAAGAGTTGAAGAAAAAAAGCTACCAAAAAAGAATTATATATCCAGCCAAGTTATCTTTCAAAAATAAAGGTTAAACAAAGACATTCTGAGATAAAGAAAAACTGAGAGAATTTATTGGTAGTAGTCCTGCCTTACAAAAAATACTAAAGGGAAGTTTTTCAGGCGAAAGGAAGAGACACAAAATAGTAATTCAAATCCTTACAAATAAAGAGTTACAGTAACAATAGTGTGTAGCTAATGTTACAAGACAGTATAATTAAATATTTCTTCCCCTTTCTTCTATTAACTGATTAAAGACAATTTCATAAAACAATATCGATAACATTTTATTGGGCTTATAACATATAGATATAATTAACAATAAACACAACAGAGGGGGATGGAAATAAAGCTATATTTGAATAAAAAAATAACAGCAGATAGTAAGTCAAATCCACAGAAACAAATGAAGAGAACCAGAAACGGTAAATAAGAAAGAACGTATTTCTACAGCTATATTCCTATATAGATGTATTCTTACAGATATATATGTGTATTTAGAAGGGTAAGATAGAAATATCTTTAAGGATGTTTGTATTCTCCTATTAACTTCTTTAAAATATAATATATAAAGCAATAATTATAACAATATGGTATTTGTAACATATGTAGACATAATATGTACAACAAAAAACAGTACAAACTGTTGGGGAAGGGGCTGGAACTATATAGAAGTAAAGCTTTTATATCTTAGTAGAATTAAGTTTGTATACATCTGCAGTAGATTCTGATGAGTTAAAATATATATTGTAGCTCCTAGAGTTATTACTGAGAAAATAACCAAAAAATGTAGTTCAAAAAATTATTAAAGGAATTAAAGATGTTACACTTGACAAAGCCTACTTAATACAAAAGAAGATAGTAAAAGAGCAGAGGAAAAAAATAGTCATGAGACATACAGAAAACAAAATAAATGTTTGAAATACAGGAAAAATGACAGACATAAATACAACCATACAACAATAACATTAGGTATGACTGGATATGACACACATAAATACAACCACATAACAATAACATTAGGTGTGACTGGATTAAACAAGCCAATCAGAAGGTAGAGATTGTCGACAGTATTTCTTTTAACCACAAACAAGTTCCAACTATATGCTTGCTGTCTACAAAAGATACTCTTTAAATTCAAAGATACATATAGGTGAATGTAAAAGGTTTTAAAAAGATACACCACGCAAATAGAACCATAGTGAGCTGAGGTGACTCTACTGGTATCAGATGAAGTAGACTTTAAGATAAAAACTATTAGCAGAGATAAAGAGAGATATATTATTATGATAAAAGGGTTAACCGGTTCGGAAGATGTAATAATTATAAACATATATTCATCTAATGATAGAGCCTAAATACATAAAGGGAAAACGGACATATCTCAAGGGAGAAATAGATAATTTCACAATAATAATTAGAGACCTCAATAGGTCATTTTCTTTTTTCTTTTTTGAGATGGAGTCTCCCTCTGTCGCCCAGGCTGGAATGCAGGGGCGCAATATCGGCTCACTGCAAGCTCCCCCTCCCAGGTTCAAGCCATTCTCCTGCCTCAGCCTCCCAAGTAGCTGGGACTACAGGCGCCCACCACCACGCCCGGCTAATTTTTTGTGTTTTTAGTAGAGACGAATTTCACCGTGTTAGCCCGGATGGTCTCGATCTGCGGACCTCACGATCTGCCCACCTCGGCCTCCCAAAGTGCTGGGTTTACAGACGTGAGCCACCGCGCCAGGCCCAGGTCATGTTCAATAGTGAACGAAACAATCAGAAGAAAATCAGCAAGAATATCGAAGACTTGAACAACACTAGATCTAAGAGACACCTATGGAATACTCCTAAAAATAGCGGAATACATATTCTTCTCAAGTGCATCTGGTACATTCTCCAAGAGAGACCATCATTCAGGCAATGAAACAAGTCTCAAATTCAAGGATTGACATTTTACACAGTATTTTTTTCCATCACAGTGGAATTAAATTTTAACAACAGAAATTTGGGAAATTCACAAATATGTAGAAATTAAACAAAACATTCTTAAATAACCAATAAGTCAAAGAAGAAAAATTAAGTCAAAGAAAAATTAGAGAATAATTTGAGATAAATAAAAATGAAAACCCAGCATGCCAAAACTTACAGGATGCTGCAAAAGCAGTACTTACAGGAAAATTTATAGTTGTAAATGTCTATTTTTTTTTTTTAAAGAAGTTCTGAAATCAATAACCTAGCCTTTAATTTTAGGAAACTAGAAAAAGAAGAGCAACCTAAACCCAAAGCTAGCAGAAGGCAGGAAATAATAAGGATTACAGTAGAAAGTACTGAAATTGAGAACAGAAAAATAAGAAAATCAACAAAAACACAAGTTGTATCTCTGAAAAAGATAAACAGAATTGATAAATGTTTAGCTAGATGGACTAAGCAAAAAAAGAGAACAGACTCAACTAAAATCAAGACTGAAAGTGAGGACTACTGACCCTATACAAATAAAAAGGGTTGTAAGAGAATAATGATGTGTCAACAAATTAGATAGCTTAGATGAAAGGGACAACATCCTAGAAAAGCACAAATTACTGAAACTACTTTAAGAAGCAATAGAACATCTTAATTATCTATAACAAGACAGAGATTGAATTAGTAATCCAAATA